CCCGCCGGCTCCGTTCCTCCTCCGCGTCACTTCCCCCGCGACGCCTCCCAGCCACCCTTCCCCCGTGACGTCATCCCCCTGCGCCTCGCCGGCCCCTCCCTCTCGGGCCCTGCCAGCCGGCGTATTACTGCAGCCCGTCGCGGCGGGCTGGGCTGCGTTCCCCGCCCCCCGGTATGGCCGCCCGGCGCCTCCCGGCGCGTTCTCAGTGCGGGGCGCGAGTGCCCCGTCACACCAACATGTCAGGAAAATACGTAGCCAGCATCTCGTAAATTAAGCAATGGGTTTCTTACACCATTTCCTGATCAGTCAAGGCTACTGACCATTATTCAGTTAGATGGCATAATAATGCCAAAGTTGGGTGACTATAGCAGTGCTCTGTTAGTACTCTTGTAATTAATGACTTGGCAGAATTTCCATTATAAAACCATTTTTTCAAGGGAATTATAAATTAATTGTAAAATCTTGTTCCAGCCTACATTTTCGATTAAGGGCTCAAATAGGATTACTCCTCTACTGGCTTCTAGTGGATTCCCTGAAGGGATGTTAGAGTTTAACCAGTTAACCGATAAGCTGATGCTTCTTAGTTAATGTTACTGGTTGAAAGCTGCCTGTCTGGGAAGTCTCTCCCTTCCCTCCCTCCCCTCCTCCCCCGTGGCTCTACATTTGAATTTGGAGCCAGCAGGCAGGCTCAGTCCCGGCACGTGCTGGGACCCAGCAGCTGGCCCTGCTCATAAGCTGCTTCCTCTGTGGCTCTGCATTGGAAGGTGGAGCAGCCCGAGAGCCGGGGAAGCTATTAAGACCCAGCACGTGCCGGGACTGATCTTGGACCAGTCTGTAGCCAGGTTAGCTATTGTGTCTACATCCTAGAACAGCTACCTTTCTCCATGCAGTCTTTGATATCTGTACATATTGTGCATGCATACATTCCCATTGGCGCTAATGGCTGTAAATGAGCCAGCGGGTCCATGATCCATTGAGTTAAATCACTGGGATTTTACAGCTTTGAATGGAGTCATTATAGCTTCTGTGGAAGAGCCTTAAAAATTGTTGAAATAGCATTGTATCAAACCTAATTCCAGTAATTCTGGGCTCTCTTTGTATAGAGGCTAAACATACAAAAAGTCTGTTAATATAACTCTAAAGCCATCTCGTCTAAAAACTTTTGCCAGAATTTCCCCTTTAAAGGATTCCACAAAATCAAGGAAATTCAGAGTTGTCCCCTCTCCTTGCAGCAATCATTGGGTGTTGCAGTATAGTGTCCCACTGGTGAGTTAACCTCCTTGTGATGCTTTGTGTGGATAATTGTTCAGTCCTGAGGAAAGGCTATCTCCACAGTTCCCTCATAACAGCTCTCTTCATTCCTGACCCACAGAAGTACTGCAGTTCCAGCCCAAGGCATCACAGGATCTCCCCTCCCTCTGCTTGACTCTGCCTATGTATCTCTCTTCCTATTGACTCTATTTAAACTATTTCCACCTTGATTAAAAAATGCAAGTTGACAACTCTGCGGTTCTGACGCGGGATAGCATGTTTTGGTGAAACTAGCATTCCGCTGAATGCCAGGAGCGCCTGTATTCTAATCGTGGAGCTGCTACCAGCTCCCTCCATGGTCTGGGATAAAACACTTCACATCCATGCCTCCATTTTTCCCATCTGCAAAATGGGTATAAGTTCCCTTGGAGGGGTACTGTGAGCATGTGTGGGTTACTGTTATTGTGTTGAACACAATGCTATGAATTTGTTAAACTTTATTGTCCTGGGGACATGTAAATCTCCTGCTAACCTCTGCATAGTTGTATCTGATACCTTGTGAAAGACTGAAAATGCAAGTCCATCTTCAAGTGAATCCTTGAGCCTGCTTGCTTGGCAGGTCACAAACAAGGCACGAGCCAAGGGAGAGTGAAGTCAGATCTTGCTCCTGAGGATCTTGCTACAAGGATGTGAGTTTGCTTCAGAATCCCAGGCCCTGCCTTTTTTGATTGACCAAGATCCATTCCAGGCCTGGGCCACTCTGGAGAAGCCTACTGTGCAAAACAGAATGTGGCCACAGTAGCCATGGTGTAAGTAGCTGGTTACATCAAGGGAGGATTTGACGCAGTGAGGGGTGGCTTTGGAATGTGAACAGGTGGCTTTGAAGGCAAAGGGCTATGTACTGTGCTCAATTCCTGTTGATTCAGGGCCCTCAAACATTAGGCTAACGTCTTGTTTCATTTGTGACCAGCCAGAATATGAGCCCAGGCCTCCGTGGACGCATACATGCACATTTTGCTCTCAGCCCCCTTAAAATCTTAGAGCAGCTTTTTGTCTTTAAATGCATGATTACAGGATGCAGATTTCTAAGTGCTAAAAGCCTTCTCGCAAGGACATCTAACTGGTTAATTGAAAATTCAGTTTTATCAAGACATCAGCCATTCAGCTTAACGGGGGAAACATTTTGCCAGCACAGGGCAGCAGTGAAGAGAAGTGAATTTATTGCTTCTAATGGTACATACTGAACAGGATGTGATCCTAGCTAAAGTTCCTAAAATTGGCAGCTGACGTGCAAGATCCACATCAGGCCCTCTTCATCTCCACTAATGCCCTAATTTTTAAAACCTTTAATGGGTTTGCTTCAGCTGACCCGTTTGTCCGCAGTAATCTAGCACTGGGCTTCTGCGTCTCCTTCCATTATCTCACTACTGTTGGTACAAGAGATGCCATTGTAGCTCCTGGAGTTGCTCTCCTGTGTGTATCCAGCTTGGCCTGCAGCACATCTGAAAACATCTTTTTATTCCTTGCCAATACCTCTGTGCTGTGTAGCTCACAGCTGCAGAATCCAAGGCTTTGTCTACAATGGAAAGTTTCATTTTTTGTATAACTTCCCCATGTGGACACTTACTCTGGTATAAGAGGGGCTGTTGTTGTTTGTTTTAACACAAACCCCTTTCCAAACAATATAATCTAAACTGCAAAAACACACTCGTGTTCCACTCTGTGTCCACACAGAAGCAGGTTTATTGGTTTAAATTCACACCTTAGTTTATAGTGAAAAACTTTTCCCCATGCAGAAAAGGCCTAAACTTTGCCTTAACAATTCACAAAGGTCTTTCCTGACACTATCTCTGAGAGGTATGAACAGCTCTAGTTGTCTTGGAGGGCTATGAATACAGCCACTGCTTGCTGTAGAAGAAACAAGGCTATGTACAGCACTAGCAGCAGGGTTCCCTGTAAGCTTGTGGTCAGAGATTCCAGTGCCGCCCAGCTGATTAGTAGAGCGCCTACTGCTAGGATTTCTGTTTCTACTAGTGGTGCACATTTGCATATGCTTGGATGCACATAAAAATTATTCCACACAAGAATAGAAACAGTTCACATAAGGTTGAAAAAGATTAGAGGGAACATTGACTAGCAGATAAGGTGGACCAGGAGATCATGAGTTCGAGTGTTTCCGTCCAAAAGGGGAAGGAATGCAGAGTTGTGCTGATTAGCCTAGGGGGCATTGGAGGGCAGAAGGTGTGCAGGAAGGCATTGCTGTATAATTCTGGGCTCCTGGCTGCATAATACATAACCTGCTGTGCAGGCCATGGAGCGGGAGGGATGGGATGGAATGGAATGGCCTTTGTTCTAGGATACACTTTGTGTCAAAGACTTTTGTTATACAAATGTTAATTCCACTGAATTTTGTATATTCCTTTGTTTAGATTAAAGGACCTAGAGCGAGGAGAGCTAGGCCATTCTGGGGTCTATGTGAAGATGTTGGCAGCTCCTGTCAATCCAGCAGACATCAATATGATCCAAGGTAACCTCAGTTTCTTTGGCTGAGTTGACTTGATTACAAACAATTTCCTTTTCTTTCCATTTCTAAAGTGCTGTGGAATTGGCTGATTGATTGGCCATGTGCTGTCAAATGAATAATTTACATAAACCTACTGTCAAACCTATGATATCCCCTAGAGGATTTGTGTACAGGAATTAGGGCTGGAGTCCCAGGGCAGCAGGGGTTAGAACCAGGCCTCAGAGAACAGAATTTGAGAAAGCAACTTGCAGTTTGTTCCTTTTTAAAAATGCTGTGACATTTCTGCTTCTCCTGCAGGGACATATGCCCTTCTCCCTGACTTGCCTGCAGTAGGAGGGAATGAAGGTGTTGGACAAGTGGTGGAAATTGGCAGTCATGTGACTTCTTTGAAGCCGGGGGATTGGGTTATTCCAACAGATGCAGCATTTGGTGAGTGTTTTTGAATAAATCATCATGGTTCTAGTGACTTTGTGGCAGTTTCTTCCACTCAGGATCTGCCCATTGGCCTTTCTCTGGCATTGCTAATCTACATATCTCAAAGTGTTGTACAGCTGTTAGTGAGGTACATAAGTATCTCTCCTTACAGATGGACTCAGGAGAGAACTGAGCCATGGTGAGATACTGACTTAGCCCAGTGCATCAGTCACAGAGCAGAACTGAGTCTAGACCGCAGACTTCTGCTTTGCATTCCCCTGCTCTGCCCATTAGATGATTGCCAGTAAGCTTTGGCTTAGGGATGTGAAAGTGTAAATGTGTACATGATTAACCAATGAGCCAACTGATGTATCAGAGGCAGCAGAATGGGGTGGAGGTGGGGTCCATGGGAGCTGGACTGCCAGTAAGCATGGGGAGCCGAGTTAAGAACCTGCTCTCCATGCACACCAGCTCCTGGGAGCTGCCTCCCCCATCCGCCTGCATCTAAACTTCTGTGACCTTAACACTAATTAATCCATCTTCCAAAACTCCTATGAGGTAGGGCAGTATTATCCCCACTTCAGAGGTTTGGACTGAGGCACAGAGTGAATTTTCAGAGGTACTGCACACTTCAATCTTCCAGTGTAGTCATATGTCTGGGGTCACACGGGATGATAACTAGATGCTAAAAATCATGGTTTTAATAAAGACAGTGGGTTTATGGGCGTGCTACAACAATCTGTAACCCATTAACCTCCCTTTTTTGTCCTGTTACTATGGGGGTCTTAACATGCCATTTCACCTTGAATGGTATCCTCTTTGGGCCTGTATTTAGCTGTGACACTCTGGGTACCTGAAGAAGAGCTCTGTGTAGCTCAAGAAGTTGGTCCAAGAAAAGAGATTATTTCACCTACCACAGGAAACTTACAGTGTAGCTGGGATTGGACACAGCTCTCCCCAGGGTACTGTCCTAATCACAAATCATCCTTCCTCTACAGCTTGCACCCATGTGCTTTGCCTGATGAGCTCCTAGTTTAACACTCTGAAGGGAAGGGCTGTGAGATCTTAAACACCTGGCGATAATGCATCTTGTAGCAAAATTGTTACTCTCCAAAGTGCTGTTTTAGCTTGGTGCAGCCTCAGTCATGTACATAGCTTAGTTACAGCAATTACATGTAATCAGATGTGATTAAAAAAAACTCAAAAAACTCCATCAGAGAACGTTCCAGGCGAGGGAAGCAGCAGTTGGAATCCATTTAGCACCATATTAGTCAAATTGCAAATGTAATAGGTTATATTGTCTCAAATGAGAAGCATCTGTGTAGCCAGTGGAGTTGCACAAGGCACTCAATTTCATAGCTGTTTTTATGCTGCTTTTAATCTTTTTGGTCTTTTTTTTTAATTTTAAGGGTTTAAAACTCGTATTCTATGCAGCCATACTGACTCAGGTTATGAGCTCATCGGTTTTCAAAGCTCAGAAGAGACTGTGTTTATCTGCTTAAATGGGAGATGGCCAGAGAAAATCCAGATGTGGCAAGGAGTAGTGTTGGTGATTCAGTAGTTAGCACAAATTCTTGTGAATCATAAAATCCTAGCACTGGAAGGGACCTCAAGAGGTCATTGAATCCAGCCCCCTACCCATACAGCAGGACCAAGCATGGTCTAGATCATCCCTGACAGGTGTCTGTCTAATGTGCTCTTAAATATCTCCAGTGATGGAGATGCCACAACATCTCTAGGCAATTTATTCCAGTGTTTCACCACCCTGACTGTTAGCAAGTTTTTTCTAATGTCCAACCTAAACCTCCCTTGCTGCAATTTAAGCCCATTGCTTCTTGTCCTATCCTCAGAAGCCAAGGAGAACAATTTTTCTCCCTCTCCTTGTAACACCCTTTTAGATACTTGAAAACTGCTGTCATGTCCCCTCCCAGTCTTCTCTTTTCTAAACTAAACAAACCCAATTATTTCAGTCTTCCCACACAGGGCATGTTTTCTAGACCTTTAATCATTTTTGTTGCTCTTCTCTGGACTCTCTCTAATTTCTCCACATCTTTCTTGAAATGTGGTGCCCTGAATACTCCAACTGAGGCCTAATCAGCACAGAGTAGAGCTGAAAAATGACTTCTCGTGTCTTGCTCACAATATTCCTGTTACTGAATTGCAGAATCATGTTTGCTTTTTTTGCAACAGTGTCACACTGTTGACTCATGTTTACCTTGTCATCCATAATGACCCCTGAATCCCTTTCAGCAGTTCTCCTTCCTATACAGTCACTTCCCATTCTGTATGTGTGAAACTGATTGTTTCTTCTTAAGCGGAGAACTTTGCATTTGTCCTTATTAAACCTCAGACCATTTCTCTAGTTTATCCAGATCATTTTGAACTTTGACCTGTGAGTCAACACATCAGTCATCAAGACCACTCATAATAATGGAAGTTCCCAGGACACTTTTGCAAGACTAGAGCATTGGCAACATTTTCCATTCTAAGTTCTACTTTCTATATCATAAACCAGATGTTGTTGTTTTTTACTTGCATCCGGACTTGTTAGTAGCATCACATTCCTCCCCAGAAGAGCTGTGCTCCATTATTCCTTCGTGTTATCTGTACTAAGGCTTTTACATGGCAAGCGTGATATAGACACGTTTATTATGTTTAGCTGCTGTCATCTCCTTTAAATAAAAAAGTGGGGGTTTTCAAAACAAATGTCTCTTCGCCAGAAAAGACAGTGGCCCACTGTTTGCCAATTCCATTTGCTCTGTTCCAGTTTCATTTTTAATAGCTTTTCTACTGAATTAGGAAGGTAAACAATCCGCTGAGGGGGAAGGGCATTAAGAACATTCTGCTGAATCAAGTGTACCTGTTTTCCATAAGCTATAATGGGAGTTGGTAAATATTTGAAGGCAAAAATGAATATTAGATTAATTCAGAGATGAATGAAGGGGTTTATTACTAAAATCACTAACTTTTTGGACTTTCAAAAAAAATTATTTCTCTGAAAGATTACGGGAAGTTTCCAATGTAGTACATATTCTCTGTGCTCAGGCTGTTTCCAGTAAAATCCAGGTGTTCTCATAGGTAATTGCTATCAGTTCCTTAAGTATTATAGGATGAATTTTATCAAGCTGAACTTTTGCCTGATCAGTTACCTACTCATATACATCTAACTTAGCTAAATATTCTTTAAACTGTTATTCCACTGTTTTGGCCTATGTTCCTACCCCCTTGTTGTTAATATTAATTGTGTTAACTACCTGATCACCATTAACTGTTGCAATGGATACTAACCCAAAATAATCATTAAAATCCTCAGCTTTGTTGATGTTCTCCTTCCCCACTAAATAAAAGACCTACATTTTAAAAACAATTTTACTTTTTACTTTTGCTCCTGAATTATTTAAAGATCCTCTTCTTATTATTGCTTATTATATTCCTTGCTAGGTGTATTTCATTTTGTGCTTTAGCCTTTGCGATTTTTTTGTCCCAATTGGATTGTGTGATTCTTTTGTATTTCTTCTTAGCAATTTGTTCATGTTTCCACTTTCTGTAGATTTTTTTTTCAGGTCATTAAATAGCTCGTGAGGGAGCTACATTAGCTTCTTACAGTTCTTCCTATCTTTCCTGTTCATCAGGATAACTTTCAGTTGTGCCTTTCTCTCATAGAGAAAATGCCAATGCTCCTGAACTTCTTTTCCATTAGTCTTCTCATGGGACTTTATCTACCAGTTCTGAGTTTGTTAAAAACTGGGAGGAGGATTAAGTCCATCATCTTTATTGTGCTGCTCACTTCTGCCTTTCCTTAGCATCATGAAATTGCATCCAAATTGTCTTCCACCATCAGATTCACAACCGGTTCCTCCCAGTTGGTCAGAATCAAGTCTGAAATGGCTGTCTCCCTGGTTACTTCCTTCACTTTCTAAAACAAAAAATTCTCCCTGGTACATTCCAAGAACTTGCTGGAAATGTGTTTTGCTGCATTATGTTTCCAACAGATGTCTGCGTAGTTAATGTCGGCCATTACTACCGGGTCTTGTGGTGTTTGTTCTGGAATTGCCTCATCCTCCACCTTCTCTTCCTGATTTGGTGGTCTATAGTAAACCCTATAATTTTGGGTGTCAGTGATAGGTAGGTTGCATCATTGCTAATTAGCCACCTTAAATGTTTTGTTTTAAAGCAGCTTTCTGTTTTGGGAGGGGGCTGGACTCACCCTCCTGAGGTTTCTTCCAGCCCTATGATTCTATGATTAGTTGTCCTTACAACTTTAATTTTTCCTTTGTTGCACATAAATGTAGAACATGAAATATAAAAATAAAAATGACACAGGAGGGACAAGTTATGAGTTGTGCTAGCCAAGCTAATAAAGGCAGCTGCAGTGTCCTGCCTCATTCACTGCACACCAGAGAAGATGTATTAGAGAGCTACATTAACCATGTACAAAGGGACTTTAGCACCTCAGGAAAATCAAGCTTCAAGTTGCTTGCACAAAGCAGGAAATGGAATCTGTGTCCAAACCAGAACTGGGATACAGGAGTCTTGCCTCCCTAGGCTGCGCTTGGACCTCAAGGTCACATTTCTCTCTCCAGTTTTATTGAGTCTGAAAACTTTCACCTGATCAGTTACTTGCTCAAATTGCCTGCAGCTTTCTAATGCTTCTCATAGCTTGAATGAGCTTTGTCCTTTCAACCAGGAACGTGGCGAACTGATGCAGTGTTCAATGAAGACACCTTGGTGAAACTCCCACGTGACATTCCTTTGCTGTGTGCTGCCAACTTGAGCGTCAACCCCTGTACAGCCTATCGGATGCTGATTGACTTTGAGACCCTGGGGCCAGGTACGTCTCTTAAACTGCACCCTGCAATTCGTTGAACATGTAGCTGATTTTTACACTCTCCTGGAGCATCCCATCATTGAGCAGAATCAGAAATTCCTTCTAATTAGTAGTTTATCCATGCGCGTAAATAAAGCTCTATTTTCTTCTGTATGAAAGTACTAATACTGAGTAGTTAGAATAGGGCAGGGGTGGCCAACCTGTTCCAGATGAAGAGCCAAGATCCAGATGGATCCAGTGAGAAGAGCCAAAGCAAAAAGTTGTAGGGGGGGGAAAGGAGCCCTCCCCCCCCAAAAAAAAGAAGAAAAGGAGCCTCCAGGCTTTTTGGCCTCAGCAAGCGCCTGTCGGTGGCCGCCATATTAGATCTGTCATTTTGATCCGGACGATTCCCCTACCCCGGTGAACACAGGGGAGCAAGGAGGCATGGGCCATGTTCAGGGAGTGTGGGGGTGGCTTTGTGAGCCGCACTGATTGGGGGGGGCGGGAAGAGCCGCATGTAGCTCGCGAGCCACGGGTTGGCCATGCCTGGAATAGGGGTTTGGGTTTTATCCCCAGCTCTGCCACTGGCTGCATGACCTCGGGCAAGTTGCCACTAGGTTTCTTACCTGCTGTTTCAGAGTTATTTATTATTTATAGTGTGATGCTCATGAACCAGGTCTGCATTGTGCTGAGTTCTGCATAAACATAGCCAGAGAAATGGTCCCTGTCATAGCTAAGGGAGCCAACAACCTGTGCAGGCCCTGGGCAAGGTGTGGGAAGGGGGTGCTCCACATTCCCAGAAGGGACTGGGCAGAGGGCAGCCAGCCCAGACTGCATGCCCCACCTCCTTGGCTCTCAGAGCCACATGGAGCACACAGCAGTCTGGCACTGATTTAAAGGGCCTGGAGCTCAGCCACCACCGCCTTTGGGTCACTGAGCCCAACCCCCTTCGCCCCTCATGTCTGCCCTATTGGTGAGTCTGCTCATAACTCACTATTTTAGAACACTACATCCTACTGAGATGCAGCATTTCAGCCCCTTGGCCTCGCCCTCCTTCTCTGGACTTCTGTGGTCTGCTGGTGACTTTTCCCTCTAGCCTGGGCCCTATGAGTCCCACCTTTTCAAAGTAACAGCGTCCACACTTAAAAGCATGGAAAGTTGTCGTCTCTCCCTCATCTCTGTTCTTTGCGGCTCTTCACCCCCTCTCAGGCTTCGCATCTTCTATTTCAGCTGCCTCTGAGGGCTTAGTCTCTGGTGGCCTGGCTTACCTTGAGCTGCGGAGTCTCCATCTCACCAGCTTGCCTCTTCTTTCAGGGAACAGACTCCTTCCTGCATACACCTCAATAGTTCCTATTCCAGAGAGAAAATGCCCAACCACCTCTCTCCTGGGTCCTTCTCCCTTTTGCTCTCTAGACCTTTCTTTCTAGGAATCATGTTGCCTAGTTGTCCCCAAATGGGCCTAACCCTTCCTTACCTAACCATTCTCTCCTCCGGGTGCCAGAGAATGGGCAAACTAGACTTTCTTTTCCCCCTGTCTTATTCTACCGTATCGCTGTCAGCATAGGGTTTAGATACCCTGTCTCAGACTCTAGGGTGCTTACCAGCTGAGGCTAAAGGAGTGTTTGTAAAGTACCTGAAAGAATGATTTGATATGGGGGGCAAATTTTAGGATCAGTATCATGTGCCTTCAAGGTTCTGGGTCAGAGGCAAGTCCTTCTGGCAAGCCTAGGAGGAATAAGCCTCGGCTTATAATAGGTTGCTGAGTATAAATCAAAGCCGTTCCAAGCAAGTTTTAATAAATGTGTCTATGAAGTTCTCAGATGACTGTATAGTGATGGAATTAAGCCTTTCAGGTGTTGTTTTTTAGTTTAAATGTAGTTGTAGTGGTAAAAAGGCTGTTTCCATCCGAGGACCTATATGAAATAAGTTGGTGGGTCTTAGTTCAGCTTTTGGAAACATCTCTGCATCAAAACCCACCACCTCTGTTGACCTCATCTAGCACTGAGAAGCCTCCCTTGTTGGCTCTCAAAACAGTGAAATTATTTCCTTACACCTATGGCTGGCCTTCCAGGTAGGGATGAGCCACGGTGCCAGGGCAGGGAGCATTGCTTCGCAGCAGTCTGTGCTGTTCCTGTTCTTGACCATGTTCTCAGCCCTGAAGACTGAGCATGGACCTTTCACTAGCACTAAAACTGCTTGAAGCCAGAGAGCATGTGGGTTTGTTTCACTGCAGGTGATTCCATCATCCAGAATGGAGCCAACAGTAGCGTGGGACAGGCTGTTATTCAGATTGCAGCAGCTTTAGGCATCAAAACAATCAATGTGATCCGCAATAGGTGAGTGTATGATGGGCAGTGGCTTTTAGAGACTTACAAACTAGGTCATTTGTTAAAATTGTCCTGGTTTAACAACTCTGTTTACTTTATCCTGGCCTGTTTGGTTCCCTTTCCTTTCATTCTGCAGTCTGCTCTGCATGTCTGAGTTAGATTCTCAGTGAGCAGAGAGGGGATTCTCTGTTGGACATGAGGAAGATGTCCCTCAAGGTTGTGTTGTGGCCAGTTGAGGGTAGCTCCATTTAAATGTTTGTGTCTTGGTCTGTCTCAAGTATTTCACTTCAACTGCTCTGATATGAATCTTCACGAGGGAAACTCACCTGCTGGAATTATGGTATGGAAAGAGGTGGGGACTAAGAGGATCACCGTTCCAGAACATGCATCAGTTTTTGTCTCCAGTCTACAAATAGTCTGAAGTAAGCTGAGAGAAACATAAGAACGGCCGTACTGGGTCAGACCAAAGGTCCATCTAGCCCAGTAGCCTGTCTGCCGACAGTGGCCAGCACCAAGTACCCCAGAGAGGGAGGACCAAAGACAATGATCAAGTGATTTGTCTCCTACCATCCCTCTCCAGCCTCTGACAAACAGAGGCCAAGGACACCATTTTATCCCCTGGCTAATAGCCTGTTATGGACCTAACCTCCATGAAATTATCTAGCTTCTCTTTAAACTCTGTTATAGTCCTAGCCTTCACAGCCACCTCTGGCAAGGAGTTCCACAGGTTGATTACACGCTGTGTGAAGAAGAACTTTCTTTTATTAGTTTTAAACCTGCTACCCATTAACTTCATTTGGTGTCCTCTAGTTTTTCTATTATGGGAGCTAATAAATAACTTTTCTTTATCCGCCCTCTCCACACCACTCATGATTTTATAGACCTCTATCATATCCTCCCCTCAGTCTTCTCTTTTCGAAACTGAAAAGTCCCAGTCGCTTTAACCTAACCTCTCTTCATATGGGACCTGTTCCAAACCCCTAATCATTTTTGTTGCCCTTTTCTGAACCCTTTCCAAGGCCAAAATATCTTTTTTGAGGTGAGGAGACCACATCTGTACACAGTATTCAAGATGTGGGCGTACCATACTTTTATACAGGGCAGTAAAATATTTTCTATCCCTTTCTTAATTCCTAGCATCCTATTTGCCTTTTTGACCGCCGCTGCACACTGTGTGGAAGTTTTCAGAGAACTTGGAGCTATCGTGGATAGTTCTCTAGCTCGCCAGTAATTTCTGCCAGTCTTTCTGTCTTTCCTGCCCAGACCCAACCTCCAGGAGCTGGTACACAGATTGAAGTCCCTTGGTGCGGACCATGTCATCACAGAAGAGATGCTGAGAAAGCCCGAGATGCAAGACATATTTAAGGTACTATACTGTTGAGCTCTGCAGAAAGAAGAATCCTAGAAGGGAGGCAGGAAGCTACTTCCCAGGATTCAGAGACAACACAGGAATATCTGAATGGCCAAATTGGATCAGACTGGGATCTATCCAGCCCAGTGGCCAAAACTAGATGCTGCAGGGAAAGGTGCAAGAATCCTGTTAGGGGCAACTATGGAGTAAACTTCCCCTAGGGGAAGCTCTTTCCTAGTCCTTGGGCATATGGACAGTTGTCTGAGGCCCATATTCTCAAAGGTATTTGGGCTCCTAACTTCTGTTGAAATAAATGGAAGCTAAGAGCATACGTATCTTTTAAGGGTCAGAGCCTTATTCCCTAAAATCATGAGTGTATATCCCTTGCTTTATTTTCTCTTGTAAGTGAATGTCTCATTAATCCATATAAATATCATTTAAAACTGCTAGGCACTTGGCTTCAATCATATCCTCTGGCAGTGAGTTCTGTTGGAGTAAAATAATAATCTCCTTTTTATCGCTTTTAAAGTTGCTTTTTAGTTTGATTTGGTTTTGGGATGATTCTACACCTGCCTTTGGTTTGAGCAAACTTTCGGGCTGAAGCACATGAACCTGCCTCCCTCAGCAGTTAGAGCGCTAACCTTGGAATTCAAAATATGGCCATTAAAAGTTTCTTGATGGACAAAAAATCTGACTTGAACCTCTATTTTGTCTGTAAAACACGGACTCTTTCAGAAAGTCCCAAAGCCCCGGTTAGCTCTGAATTGTGTTGGAGGAAAAAGTACCACTGACATGCTGCGCCACATCCAGTAAGTGTTGTCGTTGTATTTGCACTCGGAGAAGTACCTGTTCAAAGAATTGATTTGTCCAGCTTGGGGGTAGCGGTCAGGACCAGGTCAATAAATGGATATAAACTGCCCATCAAGAAATTTAGGCTCAGAATTAGGTGAGGGTTTCTAGCCATCAGCGGAGTGAAATTCCAGACCAGCTTTCCAAGGGGAGCAGTGAGAACAAAAAACCCAATTGGCTTTACGACTGAATGTGATACATTTATAGAGGGGGTGGTGTGACAGAACGACATTCAGTGGCATGTGGCTCATCACGGACTGCCAGTAGCCAAAATCCACGGTGATTGGAAACAGGACACTAGATGGGGAGAGCTCTTATTTACGACAGAGATTTCTTGCCCAGGTATCTGCTACGTGTGCTTAAGATCTAACTAATAGCCATATCTGGGGTCGGGAAAGAATTTTCCCCAGGACCAATTGGCATAAACTTTGGGAGTTTTTCACCACCTTCTGCAGCATGGGACATGGTTCACTTGCATGTTTAAACTAGTGTAAATGATGAATTCAGTATAACTTGAAGTCTTTAAACCCTGGTTTGAGTAGCTCAGTTAGAAGTGAGGGGATTATTTCAGGAGTGGGGGAGGTTCTGTGGCCTGTGCATGCAGGAGGTCAGATTAGATGGTCACGATGATCCCTTCTGACCATAAAGGCTGAGTCTGCGTATGAGTCTCTTGTTTAAAAGTGAGGCTGGGGGTGGTTTTCGGGCAATACAGTGAGTGAAATCTAAGACTTAAAGCAAATCTGCAGAAGTGACACACAGCAACAGACTTCTGAAGACTAGTAAGAGTGGAAGGTCATGTCCAGCAATGAGGGCAGTATATAGCAGATGAGGGCAGTATACAGTACTACAGTCTCTTGCTCGGTGTCTTGTGGCTTTTGCATTGGGAGGGGTCCATTAACTCTTGGTCAGCATTTCAGTTAATGGCTCTTTGGAGAATGAGGGGGAAGCCAAGAAGCAAATTGAGCAAGTAACAAAGTAACTGTTCAGCAATATAATTGAAAAAGCCCCTGTGTACCAGCATCTGTATCGGGGGTCAGAACTAACAGAGGAAAGCAGGTCTTGTTGAAGATCTTTTTTGGGGGAAATCATTAATTGTCTGACACCTGATTATCCATATAGACAGAAGGGGACCATGGTTACATATGGCGGGATGGCAAAACAGCCTGTGACTGTCCCTGTGGTAAGTAACAGATGCTTGTGACACATTCTCTGTAGTCACGTCAGAAAGCCCCTATTCAACAATGCCAAAACATTCCAGGCAAAACATCCGCTGTGGGCAACTGGCTGCCTCACAGGGTTGGCTTCACCACATCTATACATGGTCCCTTAACTCCTCCTCCGTTCCCATGCAGCAGCATTGCTCCCATTATGAGTGACTGGGTGAAGTGCATCTTTGACTTCCCAGGGCTCCAGTGCTAGCACACTTGCACACCACAGCCAATGTCCCACTGGTTGAAGTGTGCCAGGAATGAGTTAATTCTTGTTGGTTTTATGGGGTTTGGGTGGGTGTCGGTACCACTCCTGGCAGTGTTTATGAAGCGACTGGCCTGGCGTGTGTGACTGGCCCAGCCATTGGAAGCTGTCACCGCAGCATCTGCCAGGCAAATCCTCATTGCAAAAGTGGCCTTCTAAGGTGCACACGTAGAGCAGATCTTCCCCATGGCAATCCTGGTTGCGACCTGGAATAAGTAGTTAAGGCATCTCTTGCCAGATCAGAACGATTAACCTCTGCACTCATGGCTGTGGAGAGTCACTGCTCATGCAGAACATTTTATCAAAGAGAATTTTTAAATTTGGGGCCAGATGGACATCAAGAGAGCCTGAAAGTGTCTTGCCACAAAACAGGCAATGGGCAGTGTTAGTTTGCAGTTCTGACAGCTTTGGCAAGAATGTGATAACTTCTGAGAGAACCAAACTGTGGTCTTATCTCGTATTTACAATCCAGCATGTTGTGAAGGAAAATAAGGTTTTGCAAGTGTTGTGTAAAGTTTTTTTTTTTTTTAAGAGAATCTGAGTTGTCTGAGTGAATTTATGCCAAGTTAAAGCTCTTTCCTATGGCCCGGGTGTAGCAAAATATGCTAACTGAAGAATGCACATTGTAAATAGTTTCCCCTAGAATCATAGTGTGTCTCCCCTTGTTTCTACAGAGTGCATTCATCTTTAAGGATGTGAAGCTTCGTGGGTTTTGGATGACTCAGTGGAAGAAAGACCAGGCCCAGAGTAAGTTGAAGATCATTTCCATGAGGCAATAGCCCAGAGGAAATCTGTTGAAGTATGAACATGTTCTCTTAAGGGCTCCTTTTCCCAGAGGAAAGTAAGCACTGTTCCTGCTTCTCTTGGTGAGGCATTTGATGCATAGATGTGGAGTGATTGGTTCAGAGCCACAGAAGGAGTCATTGTCAGAACAGGAAGTAGCACTTGAGTACTTGTGTTCCTGTCCCATCTGGGCAACGAGTTACTGCTTCTCTCATTGGGCAGCCCTAGAAACCGAGCCCAGAACACATCCTGAAGAATCGCCAGGTTTTAGTTGAGCCCTTTTGGGGAAATCCTGACAAAGCAGCCCTCACCCTCAGTGCCTGAAGAGCAGATAACTGTTTTGCTAGCTGGGTTTCTAGACATCAGAAAACAAGTTGAGTGAAGCTGGTGACAAGTTTTGACCCAGAGAGTTTCCTTCATTAATCCAGGGAGTGACCAGCTGAATTGTTCCCCTGCCATGGCCTCAGCAGAGTGGGATAGAAGCACCTGTTAGTGCGGTTTCCTGACCAAATGCAACAAACTGCAGTGTTGAGTCGACTCAGCTCTACTCTGATGTTGCTCAGCGCTTAATGAGATGTAAAAAGAGTCAGGCATTTTACATGATTCAGGCCCTTTCTGCTTTGAGGCTGTATGGACCGGGCAGAAGCTACCTAGACACAGCCTTAAGTTCAAAGCAGTGGGCACCAATGGTTGCTGACCAAGCTGCAGTGCAAGGGGCAGGTAATCTGGAGTAGTGAGCAGGCCAGGCAATCAAACAGGATTGGAAAGAAAGGTCATAGGGGCCTGTCTCCCCTCTCATCAGAATAAATGAGTTGTCCTGCTTGGCAATCCTGCGGTCAGTACAAGGGAGTCATGTGGGATCATCTGCCTTGTGCCAGCCATATAAACTGGATGTATTTCCCTCCAAAGCCAGTGAATGCTGCTGTGTGTGTTAAGTGTGGAAGGTGTTGCTGAAGAAACTGAGGCCACCTGCCCCTATACCGAGCTGCTGTCCCAGGGAGCTTCACACCTAAATTCCACTCCCTTGTGTTGTATTGCTAGGCAGCCAGGGCAGCCAAGACCAACTCACTTTGCTTGTCAGTTGTCTCATTTCCTCTGGGGGGCGCTGTGGGTCTTGTTCACCCTCCGCTCTGGAAGGAGCAGGATTACTCTCTTCTCTTTCCCATGCAGATAAGGACAGATTTTCTGGGATGATTCTGAACCTGTGTGATCTTATTCATAAGGGGCAGCTGAGGGCTCCAGCCTGCACAGAGGTCCCTCTGAAGGACTATCAGATTGCCCTGGAGGCCTCTATGAAGCCATTCACCACATCTAAACAGGTGCTCATCATGTGAGGCTGCTCTCATAGACAGTCGTGCACCCTTTGTTTCCAGAGGATTTTTAAGAGGGAGCGGAATCACAGCCAATGCTGGCGACCTTGGAAACAATACAACGGGTTTCAGGCAGGGCTTCAGGGCGTCCCCACTACAACTCGTCCCTGTATACATCCGTTCCACACTAAAGTCATTGACGTTTTTAGGAACTGATGCGTTGGAAGTCCTCCCATTCCCCGCTATAAGTCATGCAAAACACTCCCTCCAATTTGCTTAAATGGAAGTCAGCCGCAGGAAAAAAATGTAAGTTGTTTTACTATAAGTCCAATTTTTTGGAATGTATCTTGGACTTATAGTGAGGACAGCCTGTACCCAGTATTCAGAGGAGAGTTGTTGAAGAGGTCCCCCCAACAGTGGCCCTGCTAACCCCAATACTGTCCTGTACAATCCTTAGGGAAATTTTAAATCTGTAGTTTGATATTAAGGCAGTTGCAGCTGAAATAAAGGTGTGTCACATTGTATTGCAAACCTGTCATCCAAGTTCAAGAACTGTGAAACAAGCCCCTGAAATGTCAATGATTGTTCAGAATAAATGCTATAATTTTGAGAGACTGTTTTCTTCCTGGGCTGTTTTTCCATCAGCTGGGTTTTTGCACAATGTGTGCTATGTAATAAAATGTAGTTCCTCTGATGTGCTTCAGTTAGAGTAGTACAAATTGTCACAAGTAGTTTATTTTGTTAAAATGTTATGCTATAGCCTCCAAGGCTATGTCTACCTTATAAGGTTTTTGCGCAAAAATAGTTGTGTTTGTGCAAAAACCGGCAGAGCATTCTTACCTCAAGCGTGTTTTTGTGCAAGAAAGTTGACAGAACAGAGGGCTTTTGCCGGTAGTTATTCCTCTTCCCACGAGGAATAACTCCTTTTTGCGCTACAGCTCTTGTGCAAAAAAGGTGTGGACGCTCCCAAGGGGTTTTTGCATAAGAAACCCCTATTGGAAAAAACACAGGTGCTCTGATGGTCATTCTGTGAATGGCAATCAGAGCTTTCTTGCACAAGAGTGTCCATGCAGTGTGGACACTCTTGTGCAAAAGCACATCACTTTTGCGATGCACTTTGAGGTCTGGACGTGCTTTTGCACAAGAACTCTTCTGCAAAAGGCTTCTTGTGCAAAAACCCTGCAGTGTAGACAAAGCCCATGTGTTTGTATTCCAATGCTTTTCGAGGTTGCATTCTAGCTTGTTCATGCAGACTCCCAACACCAGTCAAGGAGGCATGAGCAACTCAGACCAGCACTGATAATCACTGCCCCTGGTTACCTCTGGGCTAATGTGTGCAAAGCATAGAGGTCTGCCTTCCCAAAGTGAACTTCATTATCTGAGAGCTCACTGAGGGGGAAAAATAAACTGTAGGGTGTGGGACAAATGGCAGCCCTCATCACATTGTTACACGTTCCCCTGATAGGTGCCTAGTATTTCACGCTAGGTGCTGGTTCCTGACAAGCAGTGGCAGGGAGGAGGGGCCATTTTCAATAGTCCAGTGACTCCCAGCTGTGTGCTGCTAGCATGGCAAACTACACAATGGAAGTTCTCATTGCTCAGGGTCTGATGTTTTGACACTGCTGGGATTAGCAGAACATAGCCTGCCTTCCCTTTGCAACCAGTCTCCCACAGAAACTAGACTGACTGATGTTCTGATCCTGTATAGCAACCATGTAAATTATCCTGTATAGCATCATGTAAAGAGGGGAATCTCAAGTCGAGAGGTCATATTAATTCTTTCTGGTAATGTTGTAATCACTGCTGGAATCCTGTATCCAATTCTGACATGCACAATTCATGAAGGATGCTGCTAAATGGGAGAGTGCTCAGGGAAGAGCCATGAAAATGGCTCAAGGACTGAGCTCTTGGTGTTATCCAGTCAGTTGAGCATCATGCAGAGAAGGTGAAGGTGTGACTTTGATCAGTCTGTAATTACCTGCTTGGGGAACAGCTATTTAATTAGAGTGCTTTCCAGTCTAGCTAGTGAGAACACCAGCTGCTCAGTCAGGATTATTTTTAGGGACAGGAGCAGGAGCCTTAGCCTCTAGACTATGGGCTCGTCTAAGAGTACGCTGAAGTTTCGAAAGAGGATATGCAAATTCGGCAGGAGTGGAGCTTTCGAAAGTAAAAGTGGTTGGGACACATGGTTTTTTTGGCAAACACCTCCCCTTTTTCGAAAAGCCGCTTAAACCTCATTTTCTGAGGAAGATCTTTGCTTTTGAAAGTGAGATTGGAAGAACATATGCAAATTCCATGGGAATTTCGAAACTTCAGCATAGTCTAGACATAGCCTAAGACTAAAACGTAAGTGACACTTGATTTGCTCTGACACTTTTGAATCCAATTCTCAATGTGCTTATTTAAATGCAAGACTGCAAATTGGATTTGAACACACATCTTAAACAATGGAGGAGAGATTTACAGCACTCCAAATGCCTAGAACTGCACAGCAATCCAAGGGGGAACTTAACCAAATACACTGTCAACACCTTTCACCCCACAGGAGAATAGTCCACACTTCTAGCTTCTCTCCGCCCTTCCTCTCTCAAATGAAAAGAGTTTAATGGCTTTTATTCATGCCAAACTGTGCTGCAACAGATTGAGATGGCTAAACAGGAGTTGGGTCTCTTCAGCACTTGTGGTGCATAGTTATTCCTCTGACAGTGCTGTGTGTTTCTGTTTTAGCCTGGCTACTTGAACTCACGGCAGCCCCTATAAATATTGCTCAGATGAAATGCTCGGGTTTGGAGGCCTAGGAAGTAAAGTACCTTGATCTTGAATCTCTTGAGAATGTCAGTAGCTATCCAAAGTGAGATTGCTGGAGTCTGAGCAAGCAAAGTGGGTCACAAGGTGTCCATTGCAAATCATGATAAAGAGGCCACTGCCTGGAAGAAATAGGTAAAAATGTATTTGTAATGCACTGCCAATATCTGATACTGCATCCCCACTATTAGCTTAAAAACCAAACTCTCTGGGCTAGATGCCGGGGGTGCGTCAGTACTTTAACGAAATTGCTTGTGGTTAAACCAAAGCAGTTGCTGCTAGACTGCGGTCAAACCATTTCAGCTTTGTTATGTTTGTAGGGCTGGCCCCCGCATGTATGCCCCTTTAGCAGCTGTAATAGGAAGGGGAAATGAAGGGAGTCCACCTGAAAATAAACTGAATGTCAACCCAATCTGATAACTTTCTTTGATAGAATATCAAGCCTTGTGGATAAGGGAGAAGTAGTGGACATGATATACCTAGACTTTAATAAGGTATTCGACACGGTCTCATGTGACCACCTTATCGATAAACTAGGCAAATACAACCTAGATGGGGTTACTATAGGGTGGCTGCATAAGTGGCTGGACAAATGTTCCCAGAGAGTAGTTATTAATGGTTCACAATCATGCTGGCAGGACGTAAGTGGGGTTCCACAGAAGTCTGTTTTAGGACAGGTTCTGTTCAATATCTTCATCAATGATTTAGATGATAGAATAGAGAGTACGATCATTCAGTTTGCAGATGATACCAAGCTGGGAGGGGTTGCAGCTGCTTTGGAGGGATGAGAGCTTTAGGATCTACCCCTGGCCCCAACACAATCCCATTGGACAGAAACTGGCCATTGCGAGCTGCCTGTTTCAATAATAGGCAGCCAGGAAGCCCAAGAGGCTCCAGAGCACAGGGCTGCAGCCTGTGCATGTGCAGGGGAGGCAGGGAGGCTTATTCAGGAATGGCTGGTAAGTATCCTGGCAGAGCCTACCTCTGGCACCCAGTCCCTCCCTTCTCCAACACTCTGCCCCCTACTCGACATACCCAAATTCTTTGCCCCCTCCTGTACCCATATCCCCTCCCACATCCAGCACCAAAACCCCTGCCTCAGATCACAGTCCCTTCCTGCCCTAGCTCAATTCAAATCCCTGCACCCCCTCCTATACCCCAATTCCCTGCCCTAGGTCACAATCCAATCCCCTGTATCCCTGTCCAGTGTTCCAGGTCACAATTGCCTCCTTGCCCAAAATCCCTTCTGCACCCAACCTCCATCCCAGACCCCGCACCTCCTCCATTAATATCGATCACTTTCCAAATTCCTGGAGTGCCCCCCTCCCATCAAAAATTATTGCCCACCCCGATCTAGACAGTGCTTGGTCCTGCCATGAGGGCAGGGAACTGGACTCGATGACCCCTTGAGGTCCCTTCCAGTTCTATGATTCTGTAAATGCTTACCAAGTGCTAGCCACCAGTGCCACACCAAAGGGAACTGTTTCATCACTGTGAAAGACACATCACACATGTCAGTGCTAACAGCCCCTTTCTCCAAGAGAGTAAACCCATCAATAATCTGCTAAAACAGTGCTGGCTAGCGATTCGTGCTATGGCCTAAAGAATCAGGACTCTTGGGTTCTATTTCTGGTTCTACCACTAACTTCCTGGCTCTGTGAGTATTTATGATTGGGTTTGTTTTGCTTGTTTTTTGGCTGGGGCACAAAGCACTTAAACTGTGTCATATTTTTCCTCATCACTAAATGGCTAATTGGATTTCTCAGGATGGGCAGTGGAGAAAGTGACATGGCTCAATGTGAAAGATATTGAGAGCCCTAGATTAGAAGGGGGCAGTGCTGTTTCTGGAGTGTGTAGTCCTATTTTTAAGGGGCATGCTTATTTTAGTTATCACCAAGCATTCAAAAATCATGAGTCAGATCCCTTGCCAAAAATCAAGTCTTTAAAAAATTCTGGGTTCTTTTTAAGTGCTTTCTGGTTCTGAACCTTTAGGAGTCATATTAAGCTTTCATTTACCCTCAGAAGGGCTAGAAGTATGTATGTAAGCTGAAGCTATCTCGAACACTTGGCTCTAGAAGCTGGGGCTTAAAGAAAAATGCCATATGCTGTGAGAGTTACATGCACACAAACACCACTGCTCCTAAGGCTAAAGTGATATTTGAAAACACACTTAGTTTGCAACATCTTCAATATAAAAATGAGAAAAAAATTCAGTTCACCATTTGCCCTGTTTTGCTCTTCCTCCTTTCCACCAATACACTTCTAGCCTGCCTCGCCTGCCCTGCTCTAGGCTTTTTCCGTACATGCATGGAAAAGCCCAGAGAAGGGCAGAGTAAAAGGAGATGTGTTGGAGGGATCTGAAATAATGAATGGGATACAGAAGGACAATCAGGCTGCTTTCTATCCATTTGATTACCAAAGGACACTTCTAATAAAAAGGCAACAAAAGAAGGGATATATTAAATGTCTATCCAGATTGCAAATGGCTAAATACTAGGATACAATATGGCTTAAGCCAAAGCCTACTGCAGTCCCCGGAGAGACTCCCATCAGTGTCCATAGTCTTTGGATCAGGTTCTATATGCAGTGTGGTATTGTGGCAAGCAGCTTAGTGTACTTCAAAAAAGGATCAGACATGTCTATAAATGAATCGAGCATCACATTAGCGACTGGAATTACAGGGACTCGTGAACGCAGTGTTGCTGGAGTCGTGATGGTCTCAAGATCTTGGATTAAGGTGACTAAGCTCATATGTTTTATTGGACCCACTTCTGTTGGGGAGGGAGACAAGCTTTTGAGCTGTGGGTATTACCTCACCCACGTTGCTGCTCCAAGGTCCTTGTGAATGCAGACACCCTTTCAAATTTAGTATTCCATAACTGATCAAGTGCAGCCTGTGCAGCCGAATGCATAGTGATGGGAGGGCCTTCCACTACTGGCCACAAAGGGATGCTGCACTGGATAAGCTATTGCTCTGTTCTGCTACAGCAAATACTATGATCCTAGGTCATCCATCTTTTTGCTAGTCCATCCATCTGTTCATAGATCTGTTCCTCATTCCTTCCCTCAAGTGTTTCTTCACTCATCTGTCACCCATTAATTTGCCTACCCTACTCTCCCTGTCCATCTATCTCAATCCTGGAGTACTAAAGTTCCTCTCCGACAGTTAGGAAGCTGTGCTGTTGCAGCGGAAGCAGCTGCAGTCGATCATGACAAGGCTTGAGCATATAAATCATGCCATCTCCGAGATCAACACCGTGGACTAATAGGCAGGCAAAATAAATGTGGATCAGACACTGTATGGCTTTCCCAGCCCTCCCCATGGATAGATGGTAGCTGTTTTTCACCTGGTAAAATGGCTTTGTGTGTAAGTAAGTGATTAGTTTCTCACTAAAAACCGAAACAAGAAGCTAATGGCTGGGGGTAGCAAGCTTCCAGCCCCTTTGCTGAGAAATGATGGGGCCATTTCCACTCCATTAGCACCAGTGGGATGCAGATGGTGGCATCTGCCTCACTGAACTTGTGCTGCAAGACAAATGAAGCCCTCTTCCCCTATGTTCATCAGAGCCGCAATGAGTAGGAAGGAAGAGGCTGTTCCATGTAGCACAGGAGTTAATGGGACAGAACAAACATACAGGCCAGGACTGGGGAGAGAGGAGGGAATGGAAGTGACAAACCCATTTGGAAACCATTTCCATAGCATTGCTTTTTGTAATGTTCATATTTACTTTGAAGCTGTTTTCAATTTTTGGTCTCACTGGATCATTAGTCTTTTAAATATTATTATGTTCAGTTGTAGTGGGGTGTAGCGTGAGGAGGGAGAAAGGAATAGAAAGGAAATTTGCATCCTGATATGCCCCCTGCCATGGACTCTTTGGAGCCTGAGGTTCTATCCGCCAGTCCTGTCCACTGCCACGGATCCTTCAGACCTCGCAGCATTCCAACTGCCATGGATCCTTCAGACCCCCAGTGTTCCATCCACTAACTGCCATGGATCCTTCTGACCTCCAGTGTTCCATCCACTAACTGCCATGGATCTTTCAGACCCCCAGTGTTCCACCCATCTATCGGGTCCTCTAACTGCCACAGAGCCTTCAGGGATCTCAGTATTCCACCTGGCAGCCCCTCTTGCCTTGCCCAACTGCCACAGAACCTTGAGGGCCTCAGCAACCCACCTGAAGCCCCTATACCACCTCCAGCTGGGCTAGGCACGTTCCTGAACAGTGGCTAGCTCCAGTTTATGCCTAGCAGAGAGAAAGGTGATCCACACACTTCAGATCTCAATTCTGAACAAACAGCAAAAAAGGAAGGGGTGCAGGGGAGGAAAGGGCGGGAAGAGGAGAAAAGGATACATCTGAGGTAATAAGTTTAATACACCCCACTGAAAGGAAGGCAGCTTTTAAAAGAGGAAGGGGAAAGCATATGGTGACTGGATAATGGCACATGAGTATTTTGCAAAAGTCATGGTCCAATTAATGAACAGTTTCAGGTCCAAATACAGGA